TTTCTCTTTTGTTTTACAATGATCTACAAGCTGTATTTTGTAAGAAGATTGTTGGCTGGATGAGCGGTAGTGATATGAAGTAGCTTTGATCTTGCTGTAAACAAAAGGAGTTAGTCCTATGCAATGTTAAAACGACTTTAAAACATGTCTAAGTTTGAGGCTGATTTATGGCTGACCCTTTGAAACTGTTTCATAATGATATTTTCCCCTGCAATTTCTTTGCTTGTGAAGCTTATATATCACATTGGGTGTGTCCTCTTCCTGCTACCCCTAGAAGGGAGTTCAGTTGTGTGAGTTTAGAATCTCTTGTAAATAAAACGAGTAGAAAATAAGTCAATTAATTTGACAATGCTTTGAGCTAAATAAAATGTTTTATGAGTTGACTATAGGCTGGCTGATTATAGTTTTACTATTTATTTATTTTTTGCTTGGGTGCCATTCCAGTGTGGAATGAAAATAGTAGGTAATCACTCCAGGGTCCCATAATATTTACAAAAGGTGGCTGACTACATCATGTAAACAGAGGGCTTCGTTATTGCCAGTAGTGTATTGCCAGTATATACAATGGAGAGAAATGTGATTGTGGAATACCTCTGCTAGAGATAACGATGTTTTGGTAAGTTGCATACACACATAGAATCAAAGTGGTGTGAGCCCAAATGTGCATGTGCCACTTTTGCTTCAAAGACGTTATGTGATGCAACATCCTGTTGCTTTTTTTTGGTATGGCAAAAAAATACCCATTTGGCTGCATGGAAGGGGATTCTTCTTACCTATCCAATCACTGCTCAGGTTTGGGGACTGGACAGTATCCAAAGTGATGGAATTTAGTTAATAGTTGAATAACTGGTAAGAGATCCTAAGATAACAAGCAACTTCAAGATGAAGTCGTATTACAAAGCTGTCTTTGGGACCAGTCCTTGGAGTTAAAGCCCTGTGACCAAATTGAGCAATTCTTACAGAATTTAGCTGGCAGTAAACCTGTACTTTGAATATTTCAGGGTATGCCCAGATCTCTGTTTGATGCTGCACTTGCCGTGCTACTGATAATTTCAATTCTGGGACCTTTGTCTTGATATAATGAATATCAGTTGAGCTGAAAATCGGGGACATAGTGAAGCGACTACAACTTCTTATGTATTGAACTATGCATGAAAAGCAGAAGAATATTAAAGTTGCCTTTCTTTGTTTTGTCTTAATTATATTGTGTATAACTTTTTGCTTCCTGGTTTGTTGGGACTGCACAATAGCTTAAGTATTCTTGTTTCGTATAGAAAACTTAAAAGTTATTTTTAAAAGCTGTTGTCCATGAATATGTCCAACTGTCTTCTTAGCATCAATTAGCTGTGGTAGATTGGCTATTGCCCTAAGATATGAAAGAAGTGAAGCAACCATGTGCAAATAGTGTTAAGGTCTAAGGTTTTCTCTTTTATAGGAGCTTCTTCACAGATATTGGCAAAGGAAGCTATGTAGTAAATCTTTAAAAGTATGTGTGTCAGTTCATGCTAAGGCATGTGTATGAGATGTTCAAGGCCAGCCTTACCATTGATGTCATTGTTGACGTCAAAGAGATACACTAGTACGCAGTTTATTGGTACACGTAAATAGGAGAATCTGTGGCCCTCCGGATGTTTTTCAAATCCCATCGGCCTCAGCCAGCATGGCCAAGAATGATGGGAGTTGTAGTCAGCAACATCTGGAGGGCCAAAGATGCACCAGCCCTCACATCTGTTTACAAATGTGTCTTGGCGGGGGTGGGGAGAGTCACTTAGAGAGTATTTTTTAAAATTAGCATGAAAATTAAATAATAGATTACATTGCTGTCCCAACAACCCTCTGAGTTAAGCGAGTAAAATGTTGTTGTTTCAAAGCTATTTAAAAAATAGAACATTTAGAGGTTAAAGGAAAGCAGTAGTTGTGAACCTCCCACAGAAGTTTGACGACTTTTGTGCAGCAAATAGTTATGTCTGGCAGAAGTACAATGAATAAAGCTATTTGGGATAAGATAAAATTTGTCTAGAAAGCCGGGTATTGTTAGAATGTCAAAGAGGAACCCGTCTTCCCTGAGTTGAGGTCAACTGATTGTCAGCTAAATGGCATGTACAGACTTGCCCACTGGTGTTCATTCTCTCATTGGAGAATGGGGAGCTGAAATGTTCTGCTGTGTGCATGTTCTTTCCTGTGTTTATATTGTGTAGTCTGCCTGATCCTTAAGAGACAATAGGCTGTTTCACATCTATTTTGTTCTAATGTTGGGCATGTTGAATTAGCGCTGGATGGTAGTACGAAATTAGCTGTATAAAATTAGCTAAATTATTTGGACTTGGCATAGACATTGCCTGTGGTTGTGTTTGTTTGTTTGTTTCTATCTGCCTCTTTTGCTAAGAAACTCTCTATTGAAGTGCTTCAAGACGATAAAGTAGAATCTGAATTTTGCAATCACCAATATGGGAATGAAACTGGTGAACAGTGCAACGCCAGTTTAGCAATTCTCTATGGAGTACCTTTAAATAAGATTATAGGCACCTAACTGTGCTTGACAAAACTATTGCCAACGGCTTAAGCAGTGCAAGTACCTTTGGTGTAGAATACCTTGACCATACTTGTTTGCTTATGAATCACAACAGTCTAAAAAATCTGTGCTTATTTGTGTGGGCTGAATGCACATTCGTGCATAAAAGGCTACATGAACTTCTGTGTTTTGTTCGACTCTGTGAAGTGTTTTATAGCAGAATGATTCATTCTTGGCGGGACATTAATTCGTTAATTACAATTATAAAATGAAAAAGTGCTAGCAATCTACTGGGTCACTTGTAGGAACATTATACTCTGTCCTTTTGATGCCTGATGGCCACAAAAACCATCAGCTGACTACTGTTTTCTCCTCCCTTCATCATATATCTCAGTGCGGCCCTTTCCACGACCCTAAGTTCTGTATTGTGCTATTGCCCATTCCTGTTTTTGGGGTCTTTGGTTTCACTGAGAGGCAGAGGACACTTGACAACTATCTGCCCATAAAGGCTGCGTCGAGCCACTTCTGGAAATATAGTGGAAGTTTCGTGCTCATTTCCATGTTGTTCACAGGAGAAACAACAATCATTCATTCGGAAAACCATTTGGATTGCAATTTTCCAGTGTGCTCGTGTGATGAAATTTGGGGCAGTATCCCAGCACACAGTTCTTTCCTGCCATTTAAAATTGCAGGTGACATGACACTATGTTGATCAAGAAGTCACGGTTCCATAACCGTCAGCAGTTGCTGAGGTGTAGAAGCAACGTGAAAAACGGGGATGGATGTGCTAGCTTTATAACCAAGAAAGCTAACACAATAAACCCTATGTCTGAATGCAGCTATCATGTTTACAAGCATGAAGAGCTTCTTTTGAATTGCCTAAAATTGGCAGTTCCTGAGCCTCCCCTGCCCCCAGTTGCCTGCTCCCTGTCCACTGCCACCCTGGTGCAACTTTTCAGCAAGATAAAAAAAAGTTGGCCCTTCTGTGGTTGTATGCTGCTTAGCACTTTCATACTCAAAGGGTGAATGGAATTGTGGTAGCACTTAAACTTTTCTGTTTGGTATAGATGAGCGTCAAACTGCACCTCTGCTGTGTACACTGGAGAGATTCTAATTCTTCCTTTGTGAGTTAGGCTCAATTTATTTTGGGTGATTAACAAATCAAGTACTCTGAGTTAGTGGGGTATGTTTGCTTCAGTGGCTATAAATTTGGAGGGAATAGTTTGACAATGATGGCAAGGCATGCTCTGCAAAAAGACAATTGAGGGAACGATGATTGATTGCGCGCTCTCTTTTAAAGCGCGGAAATAAAAATCGAGCCCTACAGAGAAAATGTGTCATTCCAAAAACCAGCTGCTGTAAATATTTCTCATGTGCGTTCAGAGACCCCAGCACACGCTAATGATTAGAAAGTAATTGGCATGTTAGGTTTGAGCTATAACAGGAAATGTGCCGTTTGAATCAGGGATGACTCTCCTAGGTTCTCATGACTGCTGCTTTCTAGAAGCCTTGTGAGAATTAATTCATAGTGAAGGCATCTTTTGTTTGATTCATATTTCAGCTTTCCAAAGCTACATGTAAATTATGCATATTGCCTTAGTTCTGGCCCATACAGGAGTGATGTAATAGGGGATGGCTTACATTGCTGATGTGAAAATAATCTGAGGCCTGTGAAAATAATTTCCCTCGCCAAGATAAAGCCATTGTTACTTCAGTAAATATGGTTTAAGGAAGCCTTGGCCATTGCCGAATAACTACTTTATCCTTTGTGTCCCTGTAGTAAAAAGAGAGAATCATTTGTGACTTCACTTCATTTTGCTGAACATGGGAAAGAAATGCTATTCTTTACTGGTGAGCCACTATTGGTGAGGTCACTTGCTCTTGGGAAATAAGCCAGAGCAGTTTCTCAAAAGTATGCACTGTGCTTTATACTTTTTCTTAAGAATTTGGCTCTGCACTACTAGATTATTTTTTGGGGGATGGATTACTTCTGCATAGATTGTATACATGTGCCTATGAGATGACACCATTATTATTATTATTATATTTTATTTTATTTCCCCCCACCCTTTTCTCCTAACCATGAACAGCTAAATGAATGCCATAAAGACCTGCAATATGCTCTGCAGTTTAAAGGTAAAGGGACCCCTGACCATTATGTCCAGTCGTGACCGACTCTGGGGTTGCGGCGCTCATCTCGCTTAACTGGCTGAGGGAGCCGGCGTACAGCTTCCGGGTCATGTGGCCAGCATGACTAAGCCGCTTCTGGCCAACCAGAGCAGTGCACAGAAACGCCGTTTAACTTCCCGCTGGAGCGGTACCTATTTATCTACTTGCACTTGGATGTGCTTTTGAATTGCTAGGTTGGCAGGAGCAGGGGAGCAACGGAAGCTCACCCTGTTGCGGGGATTCGAACCGCTGACCTTCTGATTGGCAAGTCCTAGGCTCTGTGGTTTAACCCACAGCTCTGCAGTTAGGTGGTACAAAATAGATAGCTCAGTCAGTAGAGCGTGAGACTCCTAATCTCCTAATCTAATAGGGGTCATGGGTTCTAGTCCCACGTTGGGCAAAAGAATCCTGTATTGCAGGGAGTTGGACTAGAATGATACTCATGGTTCCTTCCAATTCTACAATTCTATGATCCTATAATACATTCTCAGTAGAAGCCCCCCATTTATGAAGTTCCCTTCTCTCCCAAATAAAGCTGGCATTGACTTTTGTCACTAGCTGCAGACCTGTATATTTGCCCTGGCCTTCTGGATGGTTTGCTACTGTGTTAAATCTGCTGCGATAAAAATATTTGCAATGTTTTGTCATTGTTTTGTGTTTTGTTTCATTAAGATTACGTTTTAATGTTTTTACGGCTTTGTGACCTGTTCTTCACAATGAAGAGTGGGCTACAGTTGATACTTTAAACGTAACAAATAATAAAAGCAATATAGCTTCTTCCTGTATGCTTCAAAATAATGTGAATGAGTTACAGAGAAGCTAGGGGTTATTAAGGTGTTTTGTGAAAATTATTCTAACGGCTAAGGGTACGTTAACCAAACGGAGCCCACTAATTACACTTCTATCCTTCAGTTCAGAGTTTGCTACCTTACTGCAGACTGTGGGAGCTTAGGCTTTGGAGTCTTCTAATTCAGGAAACGGAAGGAAGAAGTAATAGAAAAGTACTTAGTGCTAAGTAAAAAAATACGCCTTGTGGTGGTGAATGGAGCATAGGAAAAATACAAACACAGGATGAAAAATGGCTAAGTGGAATTTTCAGTAGGCCAACAATTTTGTATCCGTTCACAACAAAATGCTTGGGTATAAAATGCAGCTAATAAAACATGCACGTTGGGTTTTATCAGATTTCCTCCTTCCCGGGGTTGCAGTATGTTCAAGCTGAACATTGTGGGGGTAGGAAGTCAAGTGTGGTGTAAGCTAACATGTTCCTTGGCGCGTTATTCTGAAATGTTGCTTTGGGTGTCATTTAAAAGCACACACATAATGCCCACTTTCCCACTATCGGTTATCAAAGTGGCTTAATTAAATAAGATGAAAAATAAGTGAAACCAGTGGCGGCAAAGAGAGCAAAGACCACTTTAAGGCAGCAGTAGGGGACATAGCAAGCAAGAATGAAGCAAACTTCTTAAGCAGAATTCGGCCGAAAGGCATGAAAAGAATAAAATACTGTTTAGGCACCATGCAAAGACTGTTAGTATAGATGCCATGAGAATATTTTGAGGAGTGGGGTTGCAGAGGTGTGTCAGTCATGGTGGTGGTGGGGTATCTCAGGCCTGTGGGGTGGGGTACCTCCCCTCCCAAAGGTGGTGCTGTGGTCTAAACCACTGAGCCTCTTGGGCTTGCTGATCGGAAGGTCGAATCCCCGCAACGGGGTGAGCTCCCGTTGTCCCAGCTCCTGCCAACCTAGCACGGCAGTGCAAGTGGATAAAAAGTACCGCTGCGGCGGGAAGGTAAACAGTGTTTCTGTGTGCTCTGGTTTCCATCACGGTGTTCCGTGTGCCAGAAGTGGTTTAGTCATGCTGGCCGCATGACCCGGAAATCTGTCTGTGGACAAACGTCGGCTCCCTCGGCCTGAAAGCGAGATGAGCGCTACAACCCCATAGTAGCCTTTGACTGGACATAACCGTCCAGGGGTCCTTTACCTATTACCTATCTCCCCTCCAGGCCCCTCCTCTATTTCTCTCTGCCACACTCCTCACTGGCCCCTGCTTTGCACTCTTCTTTTTGCATTTCTCTCTTGCTTGCCTGGTTGGAGGACAGAGAAGGATGAGCAAGTGTGCGGAGAAACTAGCTTACTCTATGTAAGTTCAAAATCTTCCCACTTCTCCCTTTGGCCTTGTCCACTACTGGCCCTGGCTCCTGACAGGTTGCCCAAAGGGACTCGGTTCTCTGGCTGAGAAAAGTTCCCTATTAAATCCACCTCCTCTCTAAGGGCAGGGGAACTTGAGAAGGGCATCCAGGTACATGGATGACCACTGGATTGTTAATGCCACTTTTCGCTGGACTAACTTCAGTGCTAACAAGCTGAGTTCCTTTCCCCCCAAACATGATACAGTGGTATTACAATGGTGAATAAAAATAGAAGTGCTGGCTTTTTAATCACCTGATTGCTGTACAAACAAAGGAGGCTGCAGGTTGCAAGCTTTATTAATTGTGGTGTAATTTGCCTGGTCTTGCAAGCTGAGAAACTGGTGTTTTAGAAGGTTTTCTTGGGAAACCCATAGCATCCTCAGCTGGACTTCCTGTAAGCCCAGGAAGCTACCTATGGAGCACCTGACAACTGTTTGCTTGTTGATGCTTAAATAGCCCAGTTCACCCATCTCATTAAAATGTATTTAAAAATAAATGATGATTTACTACATGGACAAGCAGCCTGCTGCTGCATACTGTTCAAGAGTCCCCATGTGTGGTACATGATGTGGTCATGTATGATGAGTGAAGTGGCAGCTGAAGTTTTGGGTCCAAATAATAAAAGATGGTGGCTGCTTCTGTTTTGTAGATGGTTTCATATCAATGCTTGTAAGGTTTCAGAAAGAAAACCAGCTGGGAACCCACTTCCTACTTGAAAAATCTCAAACTATTTGTTACTCTTCAGTGGTGGTCATCATGTCAGGAAAGAATGGTAGAATCCTGAAATGAAAACTTATATACCCATAACAAACCAATATAGAAAGTAGATTTCCTGTGTGTTCTTTCTGCATCTTATAGTGTAATATTTTATAAGTCTGAGGTTCTAATGGTGATAGGTATGGTTTTGTTGGGTTGGGCAAGACTTAATATTCCTAGCTTCGCTAACCCTAGTTCATTTAGCTCTGAATGAGTGCTGGGCTTTTGTTTTCCTCCCTACTGACTTTGGTGCTTTGATCCTGGTCTCCTTAAACCATAGTTTGTTATGTTCAGAACAGGGAAACTGTGGTTTTAATATTGGTGTTGATTCCGGTGAGGGAACCACAGTTCACAACCACAATTGAACCACAACCACCCAATTCAGGAATAATGGAAAAGTGTGGTTTGAAAAGACCAGGGCTGAAATCCTGAAACAAATGCATGAAGGAGACTGGGGAATGTCTTCTTTCTTCTTTCTTTGGCGATCACTCATAGTCGAGTAAGATTGTCTTCCTGAACACTGTTTTAACAGTGAGTCCGTAAGTGATTGTGGAGGCCAATTCTGGATCCACACGTCCTTCCACTGTGGGGAAATAGGCTTCTTGATGGGACTTGATCACGGTGAGGCTTTGCCAAGCATGCCTTCCTCTTAGCACATTTCTCCCTTTCGTTCTGAGTTCCAAGCGTCTTCAAAGTCCGTAACACCTTTGGTAAAGGCTGTTCTCCAATTGGAGTGCTCGCAGGCCTGTGTTTCCCAATTGTCAGTGTTTATACTACATTTTAAAAGATTTGCATTGAGAGAGTCTTTACACCTCTTTTGTTGACCACCAGCATTATGCTTTCCATTTTTAAGTTCAGAATAGAGTAGTTGCTTTGGAAGATGCAGGCAAGACACTGTGGTTTATTAAGCCAGGGATGAAATGTCCAAACTGGTCCATTATATGGATGGAATCCTTAAAAAGATCACTGTGTTTGTGTAATACTCATGTTGATTCGCTTTTAGAATTAGGGAAAGGGTCATAGTACAGTGAAAGAGCACATTTTCCATACAGTAGATTTTACATTCAGTCTGTGACATACTGTTTTTTTAGTGTTTGCCCCCACTCCCAATCAACCATGGAATCAGTCTTGACTTTTTAGAAGCCAAAAAATCCTGATTGTGATATTTTTAATCTGCATCCTTTCAAAATGGACCAAAAAAGTGTCACATATTTATATTTACCTTTACCTTTACCTTTTACCTATTCATATACTTACTAGTCTGTAATATAGGAATATCTATGCCTGAGATGTATGTACAGTCAAACCTTGGAAGTCGAATGGAATCTGTTCCGGAAGTCCATTTGACTTCCAAAACATTCGGAAACCAAAGTGCGGCTGCTGATTGGCTGCAGGAAGCTCCTGCAGCCAATCGGAAGTCGCAGAAGCCCCATTGGATGTTCGGCTTCCCAAAATAGTTCGCAAACCGGAACAGTCACTTCCGGGTTTGCGGCATTCGGGAACCAAAACGTTCGGGAGCTAAGTTGTTCGAAAACCCAGGTGTGACTGTATAGGGGTGTCAATAAAGTAATGGAAATGCTGCCTTTGATTACAGAGGGGTTGACAGATTCTTGTTGTCGTAATCTCAGTAAAACCCCTTGAGAGGTCTGATGATGCAATGCATTTCCATAATGTATCTTCAAGACTACAAAGCTTAATTGCAGTTCTCTGTGATCCTCTAAAGACAATTGCAATGCTGTGTTATTTACTGTACAGTACTTTTAACATTCTGAAGATGGGTGATAGAACAAGAACGGCGCTGAAATGTCTGCTCATTAACTTGCAGATCTTTTTGTCTATATTGGGCAAATCCTAGTATACAACATTTCAACATTAAATCACAAGGGTTTCTTCCTTCTATTTTAGGGAGTATATATATATATATATATATATATATATATATATATATATATATATATATGCTTAAGTGAATGAAACCTAAAAAATGGTATACTTGTGGGGTAGAAGATGCAGAAAATGTCCCTGAATTGGTGTGTATGGTAAAAAAGCATGTTTGCATCATCCTAGGAGCAAGATTGTTTTTTCCTTTTTATCAGTTTTTGAATCTTAACTTGGTGCCTGTGCATAGATATAGGATCTAGATCAGGCATCCCCAAACTCGGCCCTCCAGATGGTCCTGTTAGCTAGGGATGATGGGAGTTGCAGTCCCAAAACATCTGGAGGGCTGAGTTTGGGGATACCTGATCTAGATTAAATTGTAGTGGTTAGCAAAAGGTGACTTGATTTTTTTAAACGTCTCTTCAGAGATGTGCAAACCCCTGTGTGGAGAGTTTACCTGGCTGCTAAAGGCTGTAAATCTATGCATACTTACTTAGGATAAGCCCAATTGAACTCGGTACAACTTCTTTTGAGTAAACACGCTTAGGATTATATTGAACAAACAGGATGATGGGTGCC